ATATGTTACCTGAATATATATTTTGTCTCACCAAATTGTAACTGTATATTACTATTATACTATGAATTTAACTAGAACTATCACTAAATGTGATTAATACCCCCACAAGTCTGCTTCGGAAATGAGGATGTTACTAGTAACAGAATACCTTGTAAAAGAATTGAAACATAGAGTTATGGTTGTGGGCAATTAAAGATAATTGTGGTTCATGTATGTTGCATTTCCTTTCAATGTGGTTGGCCATTGATGAAGTTTAATTGAATTACTCTGTAATAAGTCCAGAAAGACAAAGAAAAAGAACAAAGGGCAATAACTCTATAAATACTGAAGATAGAGTTATAGTTCTTGTGCACTGCACTTCCTCTTATTGTGCTTGACAATTGTATGAAGTTGTTTTGAATTCCAACCAGTACGTTTTAAGTTATGCTCCGGACAAGGAAAAGTATCAAAGGGCAGTAACTCTGTATTTTGTCAAAATGGAGTTATGGCTCTTGTGCACTGCACTTCCTTTGAATGTCCTTGACAACTGTAATGAAGTTGTACTGAATTCCAAACAGTAGTTTTTCAAGTTATGCTCTGGACAAGGAAAAGTAACAAAGGGCAATAACTCTGTAATTAGTCAAGATGGAGTTATGGTTCTTGTGCACTGCACTTCCCCTTATTGTGCTTGACCATTGTATGAAGTTGTTTTGAATTCCAACCAGTAGTTTTCAAGTCATGCTCTGGACAAGGAAAAGTAACAAAGGGCAGTAACTCTGTAATTAGTCAAGATGGAGTTATGGTTCTTATGCACTGCACTTCCTCTCAATGCTTGTATGAAGTTATAATGAATTCCAACAATAAGTCTTCAAGTTATGGTCCGGACAAAAAAAAGCAATGGAAAAGTAACAAAGGGCAATAACTCTGTAATTAGTCAAGATGGAGTTATGGTTCTTGTGCACTGCACTTCCCCTTATTGTGCTTGCCCATTGTATGAAGTTGTTTTGAATTCCAACCAGTAGTTTTAAAGTCATGCTCTGGACAAGGAAAAGAAACAAAGGGCAGTAACTCTGTAATAAGTCAAAATGGAGTTATGGTTCTTGTGCACTGCACTTCCTCTCAATGTGCTGGACCATTGTATGAAGTTATAATGAATTCCAACAATTAGTCTTCAAGTTATGGTCCGGACAAAAGAAAGCAATGGAAAAGTAATAAAGGGCAATAACTCTGTAATTACTTTAGATAGAGTTATGGTTCTTATGCACTGCACTTCCTCTCAATGTGCTTGACCATTGTATGTAGTTATATTGAATTCCAACCATTAGTCTTCAAGTTATGCTCCGGACAAAAAAAAAGGCAATTGAAAAGAAACAAAGGGCCATAATTCTGTAATTACTTTAGATAGAGTTATGGTTCTTGTGCACTGCACTTCCCCTTATTGTGTTTGACAATTGTATGAAGTTGTTTTGAAATCCAACCAGTAGTTTTCAAGTTATGCCACGGACAAGGAAAAGTAACAAAGGGCAATAACTCTGTAATTAGTCAAGATAGAGTTATGTTTCTTACGCACTGCACTTCCTCTCAATGTGCTTGACCATTGTATGTAGTTATATTGAATTCCAACCATTAGTCTTCAAGTTATGCTCCGGACAAGGAAAATGCAACGGACAAAAAAAAAAGCAAGGGAAAAGCAACAAAGGGCAATAACTCTGTAATTACTTTAGATAGAGTTATGGTTCTTGTGCACTGCACTTCCCCTTATTGTGTTTGACAATTGTATGAAGTTGTTTTGAATTCCAACCTGTAGTTTTCAAGTTATGCCCCGGACAAGGAAAAGTAACAAAGGGCAATAACTCTGTAATTAATCAAGATAGAGTTATGGTTCTTGTGCACTGCACTTCCTCTCAATGTGCTTGACCATTGTATGTAGTTATATTGAATTCCAACCATTAGTTTTCAAGTTATGCTCCGGACAAGGAAAATGCAACGGACGTCTGGACCGACCGACCGACCGCCCGACCGACCGACCGACCGACCACCGGGTGACTCCTATATACCCCCCCAAACTTCGTTTTTGGGGGTATAATAAAGCCATTTTATATTATGTTTTTGTATATATTTATCCATGAATACTGCTGATGTTTCCCGCTATTGCGGGACTTGTCCATGAAGTCTAGAGTAGATACATTAAGAAATTAAGGAGTAAAACAACAACAAACTAAACTACCAAAGCATCTCCCGGGGATCGAACCCACGCCAGAGAGGTAACTGGATTAGAAGTCATCGACTCTAACCCCTCGACCACGGAGGCTGTCGAAGTAGATACGTTAAGAAATAAAGAACTTACAGTAAAAGGCGTAAAAACTAGAATCAGAAATCTTGATCAGGTTCAGTTATGACAGCTCCCAATATACTCCCTATAGTCGAAATTAAAATGATATGTATAATTTCCATCTATAATGCCATCTATCCATATTTTAAGTTTCATTTAAAAAATCAATTCTTTTTGACTTATCACACATATTTCTATATTTGCCATGTTTTAAGCCTATTTGTTGCCACAACAACTGACTTATTCAACATAATTATGAAGAAAGGAAAAAGGCATGCATAATCTCCAGACTGCCATCTACCTATTTTTCAAGTTCCATAAAAATATTTTCAGTACTTGTAGCATTATCACTTAATCGTTAAATTTGCCATATTTTCAGACTATTTGTTGCCATAGCAACCATAATTTTCAACATAGGACGAAACGAAAAAGACGTGCATAATCTCCAGACTGTCATTTACCCATAAATTAAGTTTCATAAAGTATTTTCAGTACTTTTGTGTTATCACTGGATCCAGTTTATGTGACAAATTTCCCATATTTTCAGTATATTTGTTGCCATAGCAACCAGAATTTTCAACAAGGGAAGCGCATAATCTCCATACTCCCATCTATTCATATATCAAGTTTCATAAAAATATTTTCAGTCCTTTTGCATTATCGCGGGAACCAGTTTTGCGGACAGAAAGACTGACGGACGGACGGACAGACGGACGGAGGTTGAACCTAAAGTCCCGTCCGGTTAAAACGGTAAGGGACTAACAAAATAATAAGTTGAGGGAAAAATCTAAATATGAAAGTGTTAAAGCGGCATTTCGATTTCCTTTCAACTGTTGAATATTTTAGAACAGAAATTTAGAAATATTAGAACTACTGTTATCTTCTGCAGGCAAACTGCTTTTTTTATAAGCACTATTTTTTGAAGTGATTCATTGGTTGGAAATAGAAAACAAAAAAGTACCAAAGCACATGTAGGGTTATACCATATATATATTAAATTTGTTCAAGATACCGGTATATATCTACTGCGAAAATATTGTTTGAGTTTTAAGAAATGATAGTAATCTTCCAAAATGCTAAATAAAAATATATGATATTAATATCGCGTACACAAAACATGCTAAACGCACAAAATCTTACTAAAAAAGGCAGAAAAAATATTTTTGTTCCGGATTCTTTTATTCTGTTTACGTACAATATCCATGTGAAATGGTCGAATTTATAATACAATCCTAGAGAAAATCGACCATAAGGTTATGAAACCAATATACATGTACATCTATTGGTAATTTTTATAAAAACATTTCATAAGATATAGCTTGATACATTTCAATGTAAGGCAGGTTCAAAGCTAGGAAAAAAATATTACACAAATAGTGTAGCGACTAAAATACAAAGGCAAAATGTTTTAGAAATGATAAGATTTTATTAAATCAATGGATCATTTATTGAAGCATGTTTCTCTAAGTCACTAACGTTACTGCCAATATGATATAATCAATCAGTCATGACGATATATTCCAAATTCATTAAACTTCAAGCCATATACATATAGTTCTGTTGGAGCTAAAATGATGTTTTACTTTTTCCATTTGAATTCAATAGGACTGAGTTTGGGAACTCCACGTTCTCCTTTTTGACCAGGAGGACCACGCATGCCGATGTTTCCGTGATCTCCTTCAATTCCAGGAAAACCCTAGTTGATAAAAAATAGAACATGATGAGAATATCAAATACATTATTTTTAAACGATGTCAAATTAGTTGCAACAGTTAATCCATTTCTAAATGAGATCAAAGAACTCATGACTGATGGAACACTATCTCTAACATTATACATAATATTATCTATTATGTTGTTTCGATTGTTGTTATAATTGTTGTTGTTTTTTATTGCATTTTATTTATTGCATTTTTTCTGTCTTTATTTCTTTCAATTCACTTTATTTGATATTAATATGAGAACATTTTAGGCATACTTCTTTGCACTATTTAGCATTTTCTGTTTAGCAACGGAGTTTGCCTGACGGAGTTTGGGAGAACCTCAAATTACCTAACAGGGCTGGTCAGAATTAAACAAAAAGATCTTTTTTTTCATATGTTTTACATTTGAATATAAACTGTCAAGGCAAATTTTTTAAAATATATGAAAAATTAGCAACAAGGTTCCACCTGTCATTTTTCTTTGAAAATATACTAAAAATACATGTTAAAATTGTTTTTTGAAATGGTAATGATTCATTCTAAAGAACTTTTTATAGATAGTATGTATAGGACAAAATACATTTAAAAGATGTGTCATTTATCGAGCCTTTCCCCTAAGATGTTAAGTGTTCTTTTCATTGAAGTAGCTTTGCCTCATACAACTTACAAATTATAACATCATATTTAAACTTGTCATCCCACAATTAAAATAGTGCAAATGTGGGTAAAAGCTTTTAAAAAAAAACTTTTTTAAAATGATACTGACTCCTAATATCTGGTAGTTATAATACAGATTCGAAGTAAAGATATAATTCAATTCTTCTTGTTTATTCGTGTTTTTTTTTCCATTTGTATTATGACCTTAACTTAAATTTTAGGTAGAGAAATTGTACTAAGTTGTATTTGATTTATTGATTTTCTGAAATTATTTGATATTTTTATTATTGAAATGACATACTGGTAGTCCTGGTAATCCGAGATTTCCTCTGGCTCCTTTTGTTCCTTTTATGCTAGAGACTCCTGCAGATCCTGGCTCCCCTTTTACCCATGTTATATCATTCAGCTCTTGAGATGCTGGAATAGGATAGACCAGGCATTAAAAAAAGTTAGCTTATATTTCTGCCACATAATTCATTATGCACACTGGCATTTACATGTTTACACATCAAAGGGCAATAACACATACAGTAGAATGTTGGTTTCCAGAGCTATTCACCATAGACGTGTCAAGCTGATGTCTGTTACTTTTGAGTTATAATCTGGATTGAAAAATTATGAAAATGGCAAATTAAACATGATTTCTTTTAAAAAATCGGCAATATCTCCGGAATTACGTTGTTGACAGTTGTTATTCTTCTCAAATGTATTCCTTCTTACTTTGATCTATCAACCAATAAGGTTTCGATTTACAGGTAATATCTTTATGAGTTATGGTCTTCACAAAAAATTATGTATAAACAGACACAAAGGGCAGCAGCTTAAAATGAATAAAATGAAGAGTTATAATACTTGCGCAATACACTCCTCCTAAGAGCAATTTATTCATCTATAAAGTACAAAGAAGATATTCCAAACATTTTTCGAATTATATTTTTTAGACAAAAAATCATGAAAAATGTATAAACATAGCGCAATAACCTCACAATAAATAAAAGGAGAGTTATCATCCTTACAAATAGTACTCCTACTTCATAAGATCCATCCATCATGAAGTCTCAAAAAGTTTTTTTTTCTTATTTTGTTTAGATATTCTTCGAATAAAACTAAACAAAACAAAGAATGAAAAATGAAAAAGGGATATATCTCAAAGACTTTAATGGGAAGAGTTATCATGCTTGAACATTGCACTCCTCTTAAATAACATTTATAAATCTGAGAGGTAGAATTATCATTCTTGCACACTGAACTCCAATGATTTGATATCTATCCACTTATCATGTTTCAAGCTTATTTTTCAAATACTTTTGGAAATAAGCTGTGGAAAGCAGTTAAAAAGGGACAATAAGGTATAGTAATAAAATTATTAAAAGGAATGGATATCGTTCTTATGATTTCAATAATATTTATTTATGTCTCAAGTTAATATCTGGAGTAGATTTTTAGTTACGCTCAACAAATGGAACATGTGGAACGGAAGAACGATCGGGCGGATGTACGGACAGACGGACGGATGTATAGGCGGACAGACGAAAGTACGGGCGGATACTATTTCCATAGATTGAAATGTTACCATTTCTCAGTTATCAATGTTTCTATTATACTTGAAATATTCAAAGTTATAGAATAGTTCAAAATTTATTGGAAAGCGCTTAAATAAATGCAGTCTTGTTGCAGAACCCATTTGCTTTTCGTTATATACATTTGTATAATATTTTTAAATGTATGTGCTGCAATAAAATATGTTTAAACTAAGAAATATTACAGGAAAATACATCGAAAAATATGATTACAATGTACATATCTCATCAGATGAAATTTGTTCGACTTTTAGTTCATTATTCTTTTGATAAATAGTGTTTTAATAACCCACACCATTTCATTCAAATTAAGATGTAAATAAAAATGCCATATTTAATTTTCAACATTTCCATTTTAATTAAGCAATAATTTCTTATTCTTTCCTTTTTTAATATGTTTGAAGTGGAGATTAATTATTAATCAGTCAAAAGAATGATTTTCTAATATGACCATATTTAAAATAAATCGTACCAAGTGTAGAGTCAACTTTCTCTAAGACAGACTGTTCTAAATTATAAAGACGCTGCAAGAGTTGGAAGATATCTTGCGAATAAACATCCAACTGTGTTCCATTATCTTCATTTACTGTCGCGTTTTCATCTCTTGATTCCTTCGGATAATCCGTCAAATTTGTGTTTCCTTCTGTGTTAGGGTCGAGTAATCTGATGAGGCATTGCTGGCAGCCATTACCGCTAAATACTTTCAGTTCTGTTTCAACTATGTTTTGAACCGTCCTAGTAAAAAAATACGGATTTATACTAGCAAAACATATGCATACAAATAACATGCAATGCCTTTACAAAAAACTCTAGGGAGAGAAGAACAAACGGTACAGTGTATCATAAATAGGTTCACATTAGCCATTTCTACAAAGCAAAATATAAGGGGATTTCATTTAGACAATAAGTGTTACATCTTGCGATACTTCAATTGTATGTAATTATATAATTAGGCTGAATAATATGACTATTATAATCTTAGACAAAGTTCCAAATTGTGTTGTTTTCAGCTGAAATCCTAAAAGTTTTGTTATTATTAACATCGTGTGTTTATATTGTATCTTCTAAAATCATACGTAATCATAACTCTATTGAGTCTTATTAAAGATATACTTTGCTCAGCCTTGAGTAAAATATTTTAATCAAAGAAATGTGTTGAAATCTTATCGAATATGTCTAATTTGAATAAAGGAATGAATAACAATGTATATGAAGCTGTGATCCATATAACAGACAGGTTAGCTACAGTAATATGATACAGTTATTGACAAGCGAACCGTTGAATATAGTGTGATATTCATCACTGGCTGATGACATATTGACCGAGGCGATAGCCGAGGTCAATATAACTTTCTGCCGGTGAATATCACATCTTATTCAATAGCTCAATAGTCAATAATTGTTTAATTATAATGTGAATAGGCTATAAGAATTAAAAAAAACAACAGAAAGTACAACCTTATACGTGTACCACTTTTGCATGTTTCGTTGAAGCGCGGGAAAAAAGACGCACGTGTCAGGCGTGCCACAACTACAGTACGCTCACCGCGGGTTTTGCTTTTTCCGCGATACCACCGTGGAAGATTTTTTTTATCGCGGCGGGGTCACGTGGGTTTTGAAAAAGTCGCGCTGAGCGTACTGTACGCAAACGATGCGCATACAAATGGAACTCAAGTTTATACTCATCATTGCACTGTAACCTTTAACATTAATGTAAAATAATTATATTTTAATCGAGAAATATGCCCTAAAGAACAAAACACAACTTTTTTTTTCAATATGCCCGCATTATTAACAGTCTACGATATATGGTCATTGAATATGAGACTCAATCTATTTTAAAACTTGGAGAATCCAATTCAGCCAGTGAATATGATACTACACCCAGTAAATATAATTTCATAAAATGTTTGGTTGACTTCTATTTGGACCAATGAAATTGCAGGTATCTTTAGATCATATAATAATTCCTAACATCAAATTTAAGAGACTGTGAAGTAATTATCAATATTTTCTAATATCAAATTTGAGCACAGTATATCTTTAAATGTAAAATAAAATAGCACTTACCTTATTTCATTAAACAGATCATCTATGCGATCCGATGGCGATTTATCGTGTACATCACCATCAACACTACAATGCAGAGCTTTTGGTGCATATACAAACAGAATGAAACGTACAATATTTGCCCTTTAAATAATTTGCCATTTTCTTCTATTTAATAGAAGTTATACAAACAATGCCGACATAAAATAAACGCTTCTAGAATTAATGCAAAAAGAAGTGTCCTATTTTTCAGTTGTTTACATTTAAAACATAAGCACTTCATGCAACGTAAGAACACGAACTTTCAATCAATCCAATTACCTTTATCAGCCTTTATCAGAGAACTTGTGAACGAACTACATCTGCTAATCTTATCATTATCTTAGTGTTTTTTACAATGATTCTTTGATAAATACATTTACATGATAAGGGTTTAAAGATCATTTCAGAGCAGATAAACTTCATAGAGGAATTTGTAATGGTTTGTGTCGAAATAATTAGTTGTATTTATTGTCGGAATATCAATGAATAAAGTTCTAAAGTTATAGCAAAAAAAAATGTTTCATTCTTAGTAATTAATGTATATAAATTATATATCTTAAAAAATAGTTATTAGAAATGAACTCATTCAGTATTTTATATATTTTTATCCTTTAAGTTTAATTTCCACACCGTCCGATTAACTCAAAATGGAGAGCGTTGTACTGTGAATCGGGTGATCAAGGTTTTGATTGCGGACGGTGCAGGTCACTTTCCTTGTAATTGATAATGACATTTTTTTCTACAGTCATTCGCACAATACCTCTGCTCTGGCATGTACAGAAATTCTCAGTTCCTTGCGAAAGTGAAGTACTACTAGTGAACTAGTACTGTTACAGCCTGCCCAGGAACGATGCGTCGGCTGAAATGTGCTCTGGTAAATTCAATGTGGCTAACTGCCGTGATCCGCAGTGAAAGCTACCAACACCACCACCAATTTAATATCCAGAACAATGTTACTCATATATTGTCACTGTATACTTTATGTATATCTTGTGACAAAACATACGGGGTGAACGCTGATACATATATAAAAAGCAAAACTTAAATGATTATCCTTTATAAAGAAAACCCATAAACAATGATTTAATAGACCCTCGGCCAGGCTGCTGCTTCGTTTTATAATGTAAAAAGGCATTCATGCACTCTGAATGTTAATCATTTATTGTAGATTAGTTTATATGAAAACTTTATCCGTTTGTTTTTAAGGAATTGTTAATTTTACTGGCTTCATATTCAATGATGTTTGTAAACCATATTCAATGATGTTTGCTCCTGAGAATTTTTGTAAACGTGAATAACATTAATTGTCAAAATATTGGTTGTTTTTGGCACCAGAAAGCATATCGTAGATCCCCTGTGTATTTAATATTGGCCCTCTTCTCGATTGTTCGATATTGTTCGACTGATAAAATCTAAATACCAAATTATAATTCTATCCTCAGCAGTTTATGGCTAGACATTAAGAGTTGATCATCTCTTCAAACACCATGAAGGTTAAAAGGCTAGATATTAAATTTAAAATGAAAAGAGTCATTTTGGTAACGTTTCAATTGCAGGCCTGTATAAAATGTGGCATGTCCCTTGATCATTTAACAATCTGCTTATTATATATATTGTGTAATAGATATTGCAAAGAATGCTTATTCATCTTAATAAAATATGCTACATTTATTGCATATGCATATTATGTACATTTTATTCCGAAATAGAATGAATACGATGATTAACCTACAGTTCCATTTTCTGAAGCTTCAGAGACAAATGTGACCTTGAACTTGACTTTTATGCTTTCCCCTCAAATACAGTTTTGAATATGAAATAAAAGATGACCTTGATGACTTTATTTCAATGACTATTTAACCAACGTTCTAAATTTTCAACTTTGTTTCTTAAACTCAAACAACTGGTTCACTTCCTGAATTAGCTTCCTAAATTTATTCAACCTTTAATAAACCTTAAAATTTCTATGCGATTGATATATATATTTAATTATAAATTTTATCCGTTTATCTAACAATGTTTTTTGAGTAATATAAAATTGTCAGAATGAGACAAATTACATGTTTAATATTTTAAAGGTCTATTGGAAAGAATGGTAAAATCTCACGCAACATTAAAATACATATCAGGATCGAAAATATTACCCTCTCCCAGTCCCCCGAACCCCCCACCCCTCCAAAAAAAAAAAAAATAATAAAAAACTACTTAAATTTTCAGAAAAACGAATTGCATAAACAGATTCAATCCAAAGGAAAGTTTTGTCTTACTCATCGAGCAATAATGAAAATTAAAATTGAGGTTTCAATAAACATATTAAACCGAGAAATTTAAATGTGTAAGCAATTTTCTTATTGACTTATTCGCTTAGTAAAATTCCATTGATTCTCATAGTGTTCAGAAAATAAATGTTGTTTACGTCCATGTAATTCTTAACATATGAACATTGTATAACGGACGAAAATGTCCACCATTTCTTCACATTATTTTGTTTTCACTTCTTTTAAGATTTAAGCCTTTGAGAGTTTTCCCTTTAACAAAAATAAAAGCATTCTTCTGTATGGTAAAGGAATACTTGTTTAAGGGATATTGTACTTAGTTTTATTGCGAAATTGAGCTTATCCATTACCTACATATTTATATTGTGTCTTGTTCCGTTAAAACATATTTATTTTTAATATATAAATTATCTAAATTGTGTTGCCGATGGAAGCATATTTTAACCTTTCAACCAAAATCAAATTTGCTGCTTCTTTTTCTCTTTCTTTTTTGTGTGTGGGGGGGGGGTACACGTCGCACCATCACAGTATATATCATGGCGACTTTCCAGCACCTTTGCACCTGAGCAAATTCACCGACGATGGGTGTTATAATAGTATGTTAAAACAAATTGTCTTGACCTCTGTATAAGTCAAACCCATGAACTCTAAACACACACACACCTTAACCATTAGGCTGCTGGATTTTGTTCAAATAGACTTGGTTAAAATAATCTACTTGAATGGCTAGAAAATATACACATACACCAACAAAATAAGGGACAATACATCACAGCTGTCATGCATTCTTGAACAAGGTTGGTTTTGCTTTGCTTTTTTCAGTTGCCTTTTCAACAAATGTCACAATTAAAATATATAAATATTTTTTTTGTTTTGTTTTGAAACAACTTGATACATAAAGCACAAACTAGTATTTTCAAAATGAGAAGATTCCTTTTCCATTAAAATATTTTGTTTGTTGTTTACTACTGGAAATAAATGTGTTTAAATCAACTTGATACATTAGCACAATGTATAAAAATGCAAGAATAAAGATCAACAAGGCAACGCAGTGAACATCAGCTCCCTTACATAAAAGTATAACTTTTAGTCCGTCTACTTTGCTTTAAACTGCAACAGTTTTTCCGTGTCAATAATTGTGTTTACATGGTTCCGTCATCAAAAATCGAATTGAATGTATGATTTTATCGTTCATTTTATACAAAGTTAAGATGCAAAAGTGGTCTATTTGACTTACTAAAAATATTTTGCATTAAACAAAAAAGGAAAAATAACATACGTTAGGATTCTTTGACAACTGCATGCCTACGCTGTATGATGCATATAGCCCAGTTACAAGGTCAATCCCTGACACTATGGACTTAGCTTATTTATTAATTGGCTTATTTGACAAGGACTTGTTCCACTCCTCTGTCATCCCTCCATTAGCCAGAATGCCATAAAGTTAAGCATATGCACGTGCTGTGCCAGATGAAAATGCTGACGATATGGGAATTTCACGCAGATCTGGGTTATTGACATATTGTGCGTAAAAAAGACTGTAAAAACAAGCGTTACTGAAATGTTATTTGACTTAACGTCAAATTGTATAGGAATAAGAGTATTATATTGTTTAAATGGAACAGTACGTTTCCAATTAAATATATTCCGATATTGAGCACAAATAATGTTTGTCTTTAACATTGTATAGCTCAGAATATCCATGATTTTGCATGTTATTGTATAGCTATCAAACCAAAAGATTTGTGAATGAATTTAGCAAAAAACGTTTACTAGTGTGTAGTAAAGATCCCTTTTTGTCATCATCTAGAACCACTTCCTAACGGTCCAAAATATAAAAATAGGGTAAATACACATTTTTTACATTAACATCTACAAATGAAAGAGAATTAATAGATCAAATGGTTTCTGCAGATGTCAATGCACACATAAAGGTGCATTAGAGATAGTTTTGCATAAAAGTATACTCTCAAAATAGTAATTTGGCATTTTATTATCTGTATTTCTTGATATAAAGAAATAATTTTTTGTGTCATGCTTTCCACTTGCTTATGTAATGTCATTTTACATAAGCATTTTGATAATAAAGCTATGGGGTCGACATTGCATCAATTTTTTTTTTTAATCCACCCTGAGTTACGCATTTTATAAACATATAACAACGTCGCATCTGTCCGTTATTGTATTTTCTCTCCATAAATGTATAACAACGTGCGCTATTTTTATGCAAGAATGTAATTATATCTTCATTTAAGGTCATCATACTAAAACGAAATACTGGTGACTGGTGCATATGAAAAATCATACAATAAAAGAATAAAACGTACACAATATTAAGACTTCAGGTCTTCCTAACAGTATGTTTACGTGTTAATTTGACGGTGACCTTTCAATCAGCCAATAAGTGGCCACTTTTGCATTCATGAAAGGGGATCAGTTTCTATTTCAACAGTCTAGAAACCAGCGAATACCTGGTTTTCATGATTTTAAGATATTACAGTAAAATAGAAATGGTGAGGCATACTCTTTTAAGATAAATAATTTAGAATCAACATAATTAAGTACTGAAAACGTAGCAATTCATGTTTAGCAGAAATTATATTCCAAATATCTACTTTGTTTTTTCTTAGGCATAAATTATGACTTGTCTGACATTTGTAGTCAGAATGAAGCATGCTATTCTTACTTCAGCAAGTTCCACCACAGTATGTGTAGAACGTGCAAACTATGATTTTAGAATCATAACAAAGTTGGTAAATAATTTTGCATATTTAGATACCATAAATGCTTTCAATAAGAATTTCCAAATGAGATCTTGATTTATTCGTGCAGCTCGGTAAAACTGGTCGTTTGTAGTATTCATTCACATGTCAAGACCTGGAGATGAAAAGATTGCATGTAAGATTTCA